ATGTGTGTGTGTGTGCGTGAGTGTGTGCGTTCCCATGCTTCTGGGCAGGTAGAAGCATGCACTCACACACACTCGGGCAAGAGGCCGAGGCTCAGAGCTCTGTTATTAACGTAAAGTGAATAAGCCGGTCCCTGAGAGCTTCTTTGTGCAGCAAATGGGGAAAGAGAAGCTCCCCTCCATGCAAACTGCCCCCCCCACCTCATCCTCATCCTCATCTGGAGGGGTAACGGGTTAATGGATGGGATGCAAACCTTATGAAAGATTGCCCTACTCCTGTTAGCATGCCCATGCTGGTATCAATGGCTTTTCTTGGACTTCACTAAATGAATCGCCTTTTTCGGGGGCTGCATGCGCGGGACGGGCCGCTCCAGCGTCCCCCGACCGGACAGAGAAGCTGCCGTGGCAGCAAAACGCATGGCTCGCATGGCGGTATCGGCCATTCCCTGAAAATCTATGAGCACACGATGTGCCCACACACGCGCTCCTGTCGGGTTTCAGCTCACATGTTGTTCAGCTCGGTAGAAGAACCACCGGCCCTCCTCGGAGCCTCGTATTCGCTTATTTTTATTCTGACATAACGCTTCACATTGAAAACAATCTGCAGTTGTTGGTATCAAACACTTGTCAGGTTTGGGAGGGCGGTGCCTGGGTCGTGTGATGTCTCGGACTATTTGTGAGTCAAATAGAGCTGCTCAAAGACGATGACCATTTGCTTAATTCCAACCATTTGCATCAGTAGCTGTCGGAGCTGCTGCTCTGCTTCTCTTGCTTTATGGCCTAAATTTGACTTTGTACATGGTTTCCTCTGCGATAGGTCGAGGACCTTTCCAGCTTGTGCACGGCCTCTTTCCCATCCACAGCTCGGGCTGACTCCTGGATGAATGGACGGAGATCCTTTCTAAACCAAGTTTTTAAAAAAATCTCACAACCTGTGTGAATTTAGACTATTTGGAGATGAACCCTATGTTCGTTTTGGATTCGTTTGCTGATTTTGGGCCTTCAATCACCCATGACACAAGCTTTCAGACGTCAGGAATCTCTGACACACAGATCCACAGTACAATTGCAAACGGAGAGATATCAGACTAAGCCGGGTTACTTTTTCTTCAGCTTTTGTCATCACAAACCCATTTTTTTTGCCTCTCCAATCAGATGTTTGCATGTCTTACGTGTGACAACAATACAGTCCAGATTATAAACTGGCTCAAGGCCATAAAAAAGACAGCATCAAGCTTTCTACTGAAGTCATGCGAGTGCTTGTGTACGTGTGCATAGATGCAGGCTCTCTGAGTGGGTCAGCCAGATAAGGCATCCCTGCTATAAACGGTAGGCATGAGAGGACAGAGTCAGATAAGCCCATTTCTGTAAGCCTCAACATGCTACTAAGAGGAAAGGACAACTATAAATGAAGCCAGATAGAAATAGAAAGAAAAGTGTGCATATGCAATTGTAAGGTTAACATTTTCTTAACAATTGGACTTTTATTTAAACATTATAATTTGTCAATAAGGTTTTATTAAATATACAAACAGTAGAGTCGGCGATATTAAGCCAGATCCGCTCTTTTAATACATGACCCTTTCATTTCTTTTGACAGCTGCAATATGGCATTGATGGCCTGGGAAGGTTATAAAACTGCCCGCACCGTAAACAGATTAGCAGGACGTCCCTGCGCTGTGGTCAGGCCACACACACGGGCCAGTCGAGCCGGAACAGATCAGACGCGGACTACGCTCCCCCGAACGCTGCTTTTGTTGGTTTGCGAGGGCTGCGAGAGTCAAGTGGGAACAAAACGAGCCCCGTCACGAACTGAAACGCGTCCGGTCGCGGGGGGGGCATCGTGATCACGTCTCTGCGGGGAGCAGGACCCACACCAAACGCAGGCCTCCTCGCAAACCAATCCATAATGCGTGTTCCCGATGAATTTAGGGAGCAAATCTGCTTTGCATGGCTTTTCCTGCTATTTTATTAGTCCCCCAAGGCTCGCTCTTAAAGTTGCTCTGCTTTCAGATATCTGTTCAGGCACCAAGATGCTATTATGCTTTCTACACGCTGACAGACAAGTCTTCAAAAAACATCATCTGTTGAGGCATTCTTACACACCTTCTCTATTGAACCCATTCATACCAGGCGCTATATATAGGGCCGCAGACTTTCTGTTTATCCGTTCATGACTGTTGCCATGCAGATGGAGGCAGCGTTCGGGGCTCATGATGAGTAATGCACAGTTCCTGTTTGCGGCCCTCTCTAACATTAATATTAAAAGGCTCTGGGAGAGACGGAGAGGAGCTTCTATTTGATGTATGATTGTCAATGGAGGGATTAACGTAAGCAGCCTAGCACCTAGACCATACACAACGCCAGTGGGGGCTTGACTCGCTGCTAAAGGCTTGTTCTTCTCATTGAGGAGGACCTTCATCTATGCACCAGCTAACGACGGGCTATCGGATAGCATCGCCTCGTGCCGGAAAGAGGAGCAGTCATAATTGAGAGAGAATTTCACATGTCCACCATTGGACGTCGGCAAACCACAACAACAATAGCCATAAATAGCACGCCACCATCTTTAGGGGAAGAGAGAAACTGCTTAAAAAGGATCTACTTAACAGGAAAGAAAATCAGCATACGAAAACAGAACAGGCCAAACAGAAGTTTTGCACGTCAGTCAGATGGTCTGAAGACAAGACACGAACAGAAAAGTGATGTCTCGAAAACATCACTGTCATGGAGATCCATGACCTAACCATCAAGCCCTGCAACTGCACACATCCCCCTCAAACCAAAGGCAGCAGAATAGACTCCTTTAATAAAAAAATATGGAATCAAAATTTTCTGCACAAACGAAAAAGCAAAGAAAACCCTCATTTGTTAATGACTGGTCTGTTTACCAAACGTGTTGGCAGGGAAATCCCATGCTGCTACAGCAACATTCAAACTGTTCTGGACCTGTCCTGAAACTTACCTGGACCTGTCCTGAAACTGTGCTGGGGCTGTTTAAATCCTGTTCACCCCGGGAAATAGTCAAAATGTCACGAGTGGGGGGGGGACCCTCTTACCTGTTGTGGTTACTGCTGAACTTCTTGTTTCGGAATTTTCTTTGCCTCTGGTAGTTTGTGCTCTGGTTTGACGGGAAGGTCGAAGCATATCCGTGTTCGCACTCTGTTGAGAGAAGATTGACGGTTAGCCACGAACAGTGGGGCAAGTTTGGAGACTTTTCTCACAACAATATTACGCCAACGCCGGGTGGCAAAAGTGGAGGAAACTCTCCTCGGATGGCGGAAGCGTTTTCAAATAACGCTTCCTTTTTGGACTCAAATCACATCCCTTTAACTGTCAAAATCAAGCGCAAAAGTGTCAAATGAGCAAAGGCAAATCACCTCTTTCTCTCCTTTCTAAATACTCTGCTGCCTCCAGTAACCGTTGGATATTAATTAGCTGGACGGCCGTCATGTTTTCCTGAGGCTGGCCACCGTCAATGTCGCTCTTTTCAGCCTTTATCGCCAGAAAAGACTCGTCAAAATGATGTACTGGGAAGACGGTACATCCGTGAACCAGATTAAAACGACGTGTTATTATCTTGATATGTCGAAATGAAAGTCCAGCGTTGAAAGCTGGCAAGCTACAAGCCAAACCTTGCCGAACTTCGTTGTTTAAAAATGTCAAAACTGGCGTATCAAAGTATTCAAATTGCCTATGAAAGCTTTACAAAAAAATGACTAGAAACACTAAAAAAAAAAAGAAAATCGCCGCGGGAGCCGAGAGCCAACAAACTGCCTCTTCCTGCCCGTTTCCTCTCCTCTCCTGTTTGTTTACCAGGCAGCTCAGCTGGGAGGCGGGCTCATAAAGGAGGAAGGCTGGTTTGCGCGCGGTGCATTCTGGGAAACGCAGTACGACAAGGCCAAAAACTGAACACTAACTAAGAGGAACGACCCTTTATCATTTGCAGACTTTAGCTCATTTCTGTCAGTCTGGACATCCTCTGTGACAGTTTTATGATACAAACAATATTCAAGAACTTTAATTACAGAGTAATGTCTCCTAATCTTATTTTTTTAGAATGTGTACACACGGACAGTAAAAGAGCCTTCGCTTGATAGTGCGGTGACCATTGTTTACACTAGTTTTAATTACGTTACTGCTGGTTTTAATCAAATTGACGTGGAAATGTAGAAAGATAACACATATTTTTAATTGAATCACAGTTCTGAAATCCTAGGTCATTTGTTTAGCTATTCCCGCCTACAAAACCAATGGGGAATGGGGAATTAATCGGTATTATAAGTCTAGTGACTGGAGTTTGATTGACTTAATCGAAAACAAACATAAAATGTCATGAACTGTCTGTTCAATTTTCTCTAGTTTACCACTAACCAAAAAAAAGACTACAAGTCCCGTGCTCCACCGGGAGAGTGGGAGGGTGACTGCCTGCTGAAGCCAGGCCCAGCAACACGTGACGTAGAAAACGAACGGGTGTCTGATTGGCTGACGTCTTTGACAAGCGTAGAGGGTTGAGCTCGCGGCTGACCAACCGCAGAGGAGGTCCGCGCCATGTGGAAGCCCGTGCGGAACGCCCCCAAATAGCAGGAAGCAAACAAATCCAGAAAAGGGCTGTCTCCGGCGAGACGATTCATTTTCCACGTTTCATTACAGGCGATGACATATCGTTAAAGAACTTTTTGTGCAAACATTTGCACACGAATTGATTCGCAGACTGCAAACAAACAAAACAGCTTATTTGTTAACCTCAATAAATCATACATGCTCGAGGCGAAGTTAATGACATTACCAAGGGATTTTTTTTTATGTTGCAGTTATTAATGACAGGCCATTAAATCATATGTAGAGCCCCACATTCGCTTGCATTTTAAAAGATTTAACACATGCATGCTGTCTATTGTATAGAAAGATTCCCTAACTCGTTTTTAGACATATTGCCTAAGTGGCTGATAATCCAGCAAAATAAACCCCTGATTTATGGATTTCTGTTTTATTGACACAATATTAAAACATCTCTGCTAGGAGCTTTTTTATCCATAGTTCAGTTTTTCTTGTTTTTTTCTCGGTCGCGTCTGCGGGGGCACAATGACATCATCCCAAACTGAGCAGGAGGACGCCGCAATGTGATCAGATTTATTCTAACTGAACGGGAGCCAACGTCCGCACGCGCACTTAAGACACACGCGCGCACACACACGCGCGCACACATCCCCGATCATTATGTCATGCTTTATCTGATTTTGCAAGTAGGTGGGGGGGAAAATATGGCTGATTCCTGCTTTGGGGAGTTGTGGAGGTTTTGGGATGTGAAGGTGCGCGACGCGCAGAAAAAAAAACGCAGTAAATAGATAGGGAGCAGACAGTTTCATCCTCTGCAACGGAGAGATCCCCCGTGTTTTGCCTGTGCCTACACTGCAGGAGTTGGAGGAACTCGACCCCCCCTTTTGTTGCCCGAGTGCGCGAATTTTTCCTGAAATTCAGACGCAAAATACACAGGATCAAATGCAGCACGAGAGAAAAAACTCACTTCCGTCCTTCCGATCCGAGCTCTCGAGAAACCTAGCAGCCTCCAGCAACACCTGAACGTTTTTCAGAAAAGTGTTGATCTGCTCCATGTGGGAGTCTTTGGAGTTGAAGACGTCATCGAAAGGACAGCCAGACATCCCCAAGTCCTGCTGATCCAAAAGAGACGCGTCGGAATCAAAGAAAAACTCCTCACTCTTCAAACTTCTTCTTTGCTTTTCACTTTTGGCCATTTTTTTTTCTTCTGTTTTCCCTGGTTGCTGGGGGGGGCTCTTGCTGGGGACGTCGGTGGGGTAACAGGGACGCGGAGAGGCAGCTACCAGTAAACACTGCTCCGGGGAAAAGTGCTTCCTCGTTTCTTTTTCTCTTATCTTTATTATGAATGCCGGGTATTTAATGTGGAGCGGTGGCCAATGTCAGTGGACGCTGGTGCATGGGAAAAAGCAGAGCCCGGCCCCCCCCGATCCCGGGGAGTCCGCATGGTCCGTGTGCCAGTCGCGTATTTACGCGATACTAACCAGCCAAACTCAAATGGGAGCGATGCAAAACGCTTCTACATCTTAACGTTAAAACACAATTCCACGATTAATTCATACTTTTTTGCAACATCAGCACCAAAGGGCAACGACTTTTTAAGATTTCATAAACAAATAAACAGCTTGCCTAACAAAAGTATTGTTTGTAATAAAGTTAAACAGTTGTTACTATAACTCTCATCATAACTGACTTTCTTAATTATGTAAAATGGCCAAATGGTGTACAGTTAAATTTGGATACATTTGAAGAAGTCTGTCGAAACATAACGATGAGTTGACAGAATATGGCACGAACAAAAACACAACAACATGATGTGTCACGTCCCATCACACGAACCACACAAACACATTCAGAGTCCGACACTCCTGCGGTCACCGGTGTGTGAAACAGTCTGTTGATGCATCAAACATGGCTCGGCCTCACTTCATTTTCTCACCAGACGTAAGTAGTTTCTGAGCCCAATCCAAGCCCAGAGCAGGAACATGTTGCCTAACAGTGGCCTATTGCTAAACGTCAACATAAAGAAGACATCTTTGTACCTGTAGCCTCGAAAGTAAGTGTCCTATATCGCAATCTGTACAAGCCACCTCACAATGACCCCGCTGGCTGTTTAGTAAACACTTCAAATGATGCTTACTGTCACGATATATATCATCATACCTAGCACTCGTGATTCATATTTCAGTGCGCACACAAACAACATTTATGGTCACTTAGTTGATCTGAGATATGATGTATCTCATCCAGCTTGTCAGGGTGCTAATTTAGATACTTATCTAGCGTATCTCATTAAGGTTTACGAGCACAGCTGGTGGGTTCATACAATTTTGAGGTCATGTTAGAAATGACCTCAGCCATGAAGTCACAACAAACCTTATTAATTATTGGCTGTGTGCCAAGATCCACAGATTTCATGTCTTCAGTGTCCTCCTGTCTCCTCGCATACAGTTAAACATGCTACGGAGATATTTCTTTAGGCAGAAGAAAGGATTTTTTTTAGCATTTGCATTCTTGAAATTTGAAATATGAATGGCAACAAAATCTGTGATGACGTTTAAAACAAATACATGAATGAAACAGACTTATGACAGAGGAGGCAAATATTTGGGTGTAACATAAAGTGCTCCTTGGCTTTAATCATGTGTCATTTTCCGTGCACCATTGGACGAGCTGCTGCTCCTGGCTTCATTTTGAACCGGAACGTGTCGAGGCAGAGACCCGTATTCAGTCCCGGTACCCCCCCCTCCGCTCTCCCTTTGCCACTTCAAAGAGCCAGTGGCAGCCCGTAATCGTTTGATGCAAAGTTCACAGCGACCGAAACTTTCAAGTCCAACGCATGGGGGAATCTCTGAAGGTCCCTCCTTCCTCTGCCCTTCCACCTCTTCAGCATCAGCGAGGGACAGCTGCACAGGAAGGAGAGCGATGCTTTACATGACAGAATGGCTGGATTTGAAAAGATTAAAAGATTTCTTTTTTAGGTTAGTGGATGAAGATTTGCAGATTGAAGCTCTGTTATGCTGTACATATCTTCAATGCAACGCATTGAGTCTTTTTGCAATGCAAAGCATCCCTTTCAAGACTCCATAGTCGTATTTTCTTTTGGAATACGTCCAAATTTGATGTGATCCAGGTCACTTTCTGTGGTGAGCGAGACATATGGAGTTCTGTTAAACATGAGTCATGTGTCCCAGTTGGCAAGACTGGTATCTGTGTGGAGGTAAAGATTTATGGGAGACTGCTGCTCGGAGGTATGAAAGTCCAACAGGCACACGGTCAAGTTAAACCATTCCTCTTCACGCTATCCCTCTGATTAAAGGCCTCCCCATGATCCTTTACTTTGAAGGCAATGACCGTGTCAAAACAAGCTCCAGCTTGGACACCCAGTGGGGAGACAGACACAGTGGTCAAACACTTGCACTTGACTCATTTTTGTCTAAGCAAAACCTGCCTGGTTTCACAGGTAAAATGGAAATATGTCTATGCATATACCCCAAAACGTGACCGTGTCATATAAATTGTAAGATGGCAACATTTACATTGAGCCAATTTCTCAGGTTCTTCAGACTGTGCAAGAGATACTTAATAGAAAATAAACAGAAAAAAACAAGATATTTAAAAGGAAAGGCATATCAAAGTGTGCCTGGGTCAAGAGTTCATTTTGGTTCTTTGAGATCCTGCTGCCTGTTACCTGGGACTCCGATGTAGATTCATGAGAAAATGCTCTCAAAATCCTCGACAAGGTGTTTCTCATGTCTATAAGTATGAAAATCCTCTCTGGAATGGAAATAGTTAGTTTAGTTAAATTAATTTCTACATTTTGCCCTCAGATTTTTTACTGCCCCAGGAGGAATTGCATTTCACAGGCTTAAGGTTCACAAGAACGGTACACAATGTTCCCGGTCTGAATCTTTAAGCATCCTTGGGGAAGTTATTGAACCCCAGCCATCAATGCCTTCCTCACTGGTGTGTTGCTGTGAATAAATGTGTCCGCAAAATAAACGTAATTAAAATTTCATGAAGATTGAAAGCTTGGCCAGCTCCAGGTATAAGCTTCACATTGAATTATTTGACGGCGACAATAACAGTGTTTAAGCGCACGTAAATCAATTTTTGAAACTGGTTTCCATCCATCCATCCATTTTCTATTCCTCTTATTCCCAACGGGGCCGAAGCTGGTTCTAAATGACAACGTTTTACCTTTGACATGAAAGAATAATATCTGGAATATCTGAACATGGCGGACTGTTAAGGACGAGTGATCGTTTAAAAAAAAAACCTGAAAAACGTTATGAGAATCTTCCTCCTGTAATTTCTAAAAACTATGACTATCTATAGTAATTGTTTGTTGTGAACGGAAAGATTGTGCACAATCTGTATTTACAAACATTATTTTACCTCCCAACCATCACCAAGGATGATAATAAGCCAAAGAAAGAACTACTTTGCTCTTAAAAAGATCATATTTGATGGTGGATAATGATTGAAGATCACATAGTCAAAAAACATGATCTTGTATGTGTTGAAAAGGAAATAAAAAAAACATTTAGCGAGGTCTTTTACAGTGTAGAAACTGTGTGCACAAACAGATTCTAAGTACACTAAATTGGCTGGCCAATGGTTTTGAATAAGCATTTGTAAGCTTTGGAAATGCAGTCACACAGTATGAACACAATAGTACAACCAAAAATATGAGCTGTTTTATAATAAGTCACTTTATATAAGCTTTTTTAACCGTTTCTTATGCTTTATGTATTCTACATGGCTGCACTCGAGCGTCAAGACTGTGTTTTCCCCAGAAGTTAAGCTGTTTTCTAAGCATTGTACATTTGCATTTTACCAGGGACAAATTTTAAAAATCTTCTTCTGCAGAGAGCATCGTGCATCATCTGTGAGTCACCACCATCCAACGAGGCTCTGTAGACTCAGGCAATATTAGTTCCTGGCAAAATGAACCCCCCAAATCTTTTAAAGTCACCACCACCAGGAGGGTAAACATATTAGGAAAATAAGAATGCTTTTGTTATAATGCTTCTCCATCATTTCTTATTGCTTCCTTTGATAACTCACTGACATTTTCATAAATGTCACAGATTTACATCATTCTCAGAGGAGCACTTCAGATTGAGCTTGTTCATGGGTAATTACACAACATCCACCGTGCGCAATTCCAAACCCGGTGGTTGAGTGGGAGTAAAATGGAGACAAAAAGCAGAGATGACGTAATGTCAAGCCGAAAAACTAAAGTTGTTAAAAGGATTTTTCAAAAAGGTAATAGCTGAAAATGACGTAAAAATGAATCTCTATACAATAATGATTCAGGGCTGTCCAGAGTTACACTTTTGTGTGGCTCCGAGCTTTGAAGAGTGGCAATTCAAGCTCCTGACATTTTCAAAGCCTGTATGTTTAGCTGTCCAAAACACCAGAAGTACCCTAGTGCTTTCCATTCACCCGGTCGACCTCTCGGCGAGGTCAGCCCGGGTAGAGGCGTGAACTCTGGTCAGAACAAAAGTAATTACACCGAAGAAAAATCCAGCAACATTGTTAACATGTAAAATATTGCGGTTGTTGAATGGAAAGCGGTTTGTCCGAGGTGTAAATTGGACGAACGAACACAGACCACAGTGTCAGCTCCAGAGGAGCGACACCTTAAATCAACCTCTCCCAGCGTGGCAAACGAGGGGCTCTGAAAGAGGCCCTCCTTCTTGAATGTTTATGTCTTCTTCTCATCAGAAAAAACAGGTATTTGCTCTTCATGGGAGGTTGAGCCTGATCACACAAACAATAAACACGAGTTGTGCTTTCTGCTTCCCTCCTCCACAGATCAATTACGATAATTGATGGCTTACATGTGAGGCTGCTATTGAGGCCCTTTACATTAACACTTTGCAAATCTGCAAATCCCTGGTCGGGTTGCCCTAGTTACACAAATAAAAGCCAACCCATTTGATTTTATCCGCCAAACTTGGTGTAAATGGACGGGCGTCTGTCTCCAATCGTCGTTTTCTCAGAACCCCATCCAGACAGAGGGGACGCTTCTCCGAGCAAAATGAGTGGGTAAACGTGACAAAGCTTTTTTTCTTTTTCTTTTTCGGGGTTGTAACCTCTTCTATTGACCTGGTGTTGACACTGCCGGCAGTGTGCTTACTTTCCCAAGGCCGCAAGCTGCGTGGTTCCCTGCTTTGTCAGGGCTTTCCAG